TAACTTAGAGGAAACAAGAGCATAGGATTAGGTAGATGGGTCATATCTAGTGTGGTTGAGAAAAAGTGACGAAGTCCTAAAACGTAGAACAAAAAATAGGGGTGAGAAGTGATGCCACAACAGTTGAACGGAAAATTGATCAAGATAATGGCCTTCACTTTCAATTTTGATAAGTTGTAACTGTTCTAACGCTGGTATCTCTCACTGACAATGTCGGGGAAAGTTTGGGTTTGTACTAAATCAATGGTCCGAAGCTGGAACTCACGAATACTATAATAGAGGGCACAGGGCTATGTAATTTCCTTAAAGTCTCCCTGACGCTCCGACCACTGGGAGTGGAAACGAGGTCGAACCAATACTAGAAATCTTAGCCTGTTTTCACATAATCGAAGGCGATTACCTCGAAGCAGCGTCAACAAAAACTTTCGAGTAAGGCCAGTCAATAGGTGGTCAAGAGAAATCTGCCGTCATCTGATTGGATTCGATCTTCTCCTCACCAAATGCTTTCATTTGAAATAGAATTGCGCTTAAAAATTATAAATTTAGAGATTCCTCCAAGCCCAATTTTTCTTCGCATATTGGAACTTGATTGTGTTAGCTTGAGTGTAAATATGGAGAGCTCTGTTAATAGAAATAGAACTATCCTTTATCAAACTAGTTGTTACACAAAGGTAAGCGCCGGAGACAAGTTTGTTTGCCGACATGAGAAGCGTCATTGTTTGTTCACTTCTTAGAAAGTGTAAAACAAGAGTTTTGCTCTTAATTCACTTCCTCGTCCGATCAAAGTCCATAAAACGCCGCTTATAAGCCCCCGGCACGTCTTTCACCTCTCTCCCTCAGAGTCACTATTTTTTCGCTCTCCTTTATCGGTATCAAGCCACAACGTCTATTTGACCGTTTTCCCAGTCGAATGAGTGGATATACAGTCGAGCGAATTACCCTGAAGGAAGATTAAGCAGCAGCGTTGTTGGAAAAATTTACTGGGACCACATCTCTGGCGAAGAGCCGCAATTCCTGTGCCAGCCCGTGAATTTTGGTCTGATGGATGCGTCTCTACGGTCGAGGCAGTCTTGATCATTTGGCGAAACTGGCCAATTTGAGCGAGTGCCAGGATTTCGGTATGTACAACCAGAATAACACGTCTCTGGGGCGAATTCATATTTTTATTTTGAAACAAAACATATTCATTGGAGGATAAGGACCAAAATATCCCCTCATTCGGCTTTATTTCTAGGCTGCTGCTCTGCATTATTAAACAGATGTTGAATTCACATAAAAACGTACACGCGTGAGCGCGCAGACGTACAAATGTATACCCATGGCCATACATTTACTAATTTTGTTCGTCTGTCCATAAATTATGATATTAGTATATTACTATTTATTAAGCTTGTTAGTACCCCTAAAATGTGCATCTTGTCTGTTAGCACCGAATAGACTGAGTCTCAACTGGCTTTTGAATCATTTATATATCTACTTTACAATCTTTCTCATCTTAAAGTGATCAAATATAGCGATTGAGGCTCTTATTACGATCACATGTGGGCACATCTTTATCATGCCTAAATATTGATTAGACCTAATCCTATTGAACAATTTTTCTTAGTAAATTAGCACATTTCTTATTTGCGGCAACGTAGAATCGCTAGTTTTGTGAACCAGAACTAACATCTCATGTAAATTAGACCTTCTTCTTGCTACTTTGCTTCGTCTGACCGCATGGGCTCCTCCCATTCTTCCTTGAATTCGAGCTAACAAGAAAGTCGATTATTGGAATGACATTTTCAGCACTTTTCCAGGATGATCTATCACTTCAAATTGTATCATAAAGACATTTTTTCCTATTTTACTAAAGCCAGTCCACATTAAGTCAGTTCATCACAGCTTTGAATATTACTAAGGCCTCATCCTGTTAGCTTACAAGAGTAACCAACTGTATCAGTCTGTGCTTGTCTTACTTTAGGAGCCCTTGTTATATTTGCAGTCCTTATTTATGTTAAATCTGTTATCTGGATCCGACAGGTTGGCTTTGTACTATTTGAACTAATTTTTTTTCACTCGTCTATGCTCAGGCAACAGTTAGATCAGCTAAAAGAAGACAACTGGATCAAGGTAGCATCTTCAATTTTGAGAAAGTTAATCGCAAGGAAACCAGAAAGAAACAATCGGAAACCAAGAGAAGATATCTGCAGTGAGCCTAATTGAAACAAGTAGAACCACAACATTTGTGGGTTGGCACGTTAGATGCGGCGGAGACTAGGACTATTTGGCTAACAGTAGATGTGTTTGATCATAGACGTGGTCCATGTATTAAAGACTTTACCATGAGAATTACTAAGGGGCTTTAGCCTCAAGTTAGTCTCCCAGGGGCAAAATGTGGAAAATAACGCCTCGAGTGGCACATATGAGGTAGCAGAGATTGAGTGAAATACTTGAATCAGGGACATAGCAGACGAATCCTACGGGGCAAGAAGGAGACTGATAAAACCTATGGAAGAAGGACTATCTAACAATATGTCAGACTGATCAATATTCCCAGCACAAGGACGAAATGGGGTGAGGAAGGTGAGAAAACCAGAGTGGAGCGTGGAGAGTTCTCATGTAAACCTCCCAAAAGGGATATAGTATAAAGGATCGGTGATTATCCTAAGGGTTAAGGAAAGATAACACAATTGTTTAGCAGACAATTAGTCAAATGATTGGCTTCACTTGTCTCTGACGAGTTTTAGAATGATGCTAAGAATGGCAATGCTCACTGATGATGCCGACTAAAATGCCGGCGAAACGTCCGGGAACGTACCACGCCCATGGTCCAACTCTGGAAATTATCATGCATATAATGGAATTCCGACTAGGCGCATTCCTCTAAGTCCTTCTACCAATATGAGCAAGTTGCGAAAACAAGGTCAAATAACTTCAATTTAGTATATTCTTATAGCAAAAATACGTTTGCTTCATTGACAATCCCACCAAAGAATGTGATATGAGAAAAAAACCTGGCCTTCCTTGAAATTCACATCTGCCCTGTGGCCCAAGGGCACTCGAGGCAATGTAGCCGAGTGGTTTACATGTCAAGCTCACATGCTGCAATATCACGGTTCGACTTCCGCGGGGTCGAAACTGCAGTTCATCCTGGATGAGAGCAACTTTTGGGAAAGCAAGGCTTTACGAAATTCACTTGAAACGTCAGCTCGATTCATATCATTGTGGGGAAATTCTACTACCAGTCCTTCATCACCTTAAACGAAATAAGGTGAATACATCTCATATATCTTGAATTTTAAGATTTTAGAAGCTCAGGTACTATACGAGTCTAGATTTGATCGTAACAAAATGGTGGATAGATATTGCCTGAACACAGCAGTGGCGTTCCCCAAAACCAAGTAGGCTTATCTCACAGGGTCTCGATTCCTCTGATCTTGTCCCAGGTGCCATCATTTAGACTCTAGCGTAGTATTCGCCTCTAATTGGGTAGAGGCGAAATTCCTTTGGTCACTTTAGAGTTTCTCCACAAATATGAAGGCACTGAGATGGTGGGCTCTTTTGCTTGGTTGAAGTCTCATTTTACAAGATGCTATTTGGTTGATCTCATATTTAGCATATACTCTAATTCGCATCATATTCTAAAGAGCATAGTCTCTACTGTTTACATTTTTAATGTTGCCATCTCTTCTTCCGCCATTCTTACGTTGCCTGCGTGAATTTTTATAAAACTTGTAGTTAGAATTGTACTGCTCACTTATGATTCAAAATACGATGTTGGCGAAAGGCTTGTACATATACCCAGTCGGTGTTCAGAAGCTGGACGAATCGTGACAACAATGACAGATCTAGTACGTGGCGCTTTCATTTAAATCTACCTAGAAACACGACAAATCTGCGAAATCAGTGCCATACCGTAGTCTTACAGTTTTATATCTCAAAAAAGCAAATTATGTGTGCATGTTTTGTGCTTTTAGATATTTGCATATCACCTTAGTTGTATGGGAGTGCCCTCGATAAATACACATTTCCTTCCTTTAAATTTTGAATTATTGCCAGATCAATGATTCATTCAGCATGCTAGCATGTACCAAACTCTATTTGCAAGAATTAGTTTTATCTTTTGCCATGCTTGCTATTCACTATTTTGTTTGAATATTTTTTGTCTCCTTATTTCCTGAATCTTGGTTTTATCTTTGCTTCTTAAGACAGGAAGAACCGAGCAATTAATTACAACTCTTACACCTGAGGGAATTCAACAGATGAGAAATATGCTACAACGCATAGACTCGATTGCTGAAGTAAGTTATTTGCTTTCATATAAAAAGTGTGCTTTGATGACTTCATTCTAATATCCGTATATGCGAATAACTCATTTGTCAACTGACGTGCATTTTTCCAGTCTGCTTTCAATATTAGTTAATTGGGTTGGTCGGCCCCTTAATACACCATTGTTTGTCTAGTTAACCGATAGTCTGTCAGCTTAGCATCCCCTGTATTAAATGAGTTCCCCGACTTCAGATTTCACCGCTAGATTCACGTTTTACAGCTTCTGGAAAGTAAGATGAGCTACTTATTCTTTTTAAATTGACAGCATGACATGCTCTTATTTTACAGACTAGTCTAAGGCTCAAAAATATTTAACTAGGGCTGATCTGAAGAATGCTCAGTGCTGCCCACCCTTTCCCTATGTATAATTCTTTTTAGAAGTAGAAGCATGGAGCAACACACAAACTAGCGAAATTCATTTGTTTGAGGCTCAAGAAGGTAAATGAGGTATACTCGAATATTGCTAAGAATTTATATGAATTTTCTCAAAACATACAGGACATTGAGCTGGAGGGGACGGAACTGCTAGTGAGTTTCGATGTACAATCCATGTAAACAAACATCTCAGATGAGAAGGTGGTAGTCGCCTTGCTGGAGATGTTGGAGCAGGGGCAAAACAGATACGGAAGGAATCGTTAACACGATTGATCAATCTGAGATTAAGGACCACATTTTATATTTAACGGCAGTATCTACGAGCAAATATTTGGACTACCGAAGGAATCTCCACTCTCACCTATTTTGGCAAATGTGTATATGGACAAGATGGAAAGGGAATACGAGAAGTCACCACTGCAACCAAGAGTGCTTATGCGATACCTGGATGACTACCTTGCACTTTGGTCAATTTCATTAACTAACTTGATGAAATAATTAAATTCACAATGAAGATGGAGAAGGATGAACGACTACTCTTTCTGGATATTGAAGCCATGCGCTTCAACGGGACACTCATGCAAAGACTACACAGAAAGAATTCATATGCGGGAATAATCCTTAATTTTCAGTCTTACCATAATACAGACTGAAGATCGGAATAATGAGGAGTTTGATCATCAGAAGCTTACGACTAACGGACACTGAGTTCTGGGACGAGGAGTTGGAAAAAACTGACATGGATTTTCGTCTTAGTAAAGGGTACCTTAGATAATTTATTTTTGAAAATGTAGAGGTTATAAAGGGCCGATTTCAACTTGGATTTTATTAAAATCAGATCAGGAATCAGGACGACCAGAAGTGGATTTGCCTGCTCTCATTAGAACTGAGCCATCAATTGCGACAGTTATCCAGGGAATGGAATATCAAGGCGATAACAAAGGAGAAGAAAACACTATTCACCCGTCTTTAGATGCAACAGGAGAAGACTGACAAACTTCATTGCTCGGGAGTCTATCGCATCAAATACGGTAACTGTGAGCAGAAGTATATTGGAGAAACAGGAAGAAAAATAAGCCTACGAATCATGGAACATAAAAGACTCTGCAGGAACATGGATACGGAAAGATCCAAAAGAGAGGAACACATTGCACGAACGAGGCACGAAATCGACTGAAAATCGACCAAAAGGCTGGCTGCACATGGTAAATATACGAGAAATCGCAAGATCCGAGAGGCCATCGATATATTGACCGAGTGAAATCTAATGAACAGGGGACTTAAAGAAGACAGGATCAGCCAAAACTTTGCATATTGTCTAAACAAACTCGGAGAAGACTAGGCAAAATTAAGATCAGTAAAAGAAGACAAATGGATCAAGGCAACATCTTTAATCTTAGGAAAAAAAATCGCAAGGGGACCAGAAAGGAACAATCAGAAGCCAAGAGGAGACGTCTTCTGTGAGCCTAATCAAAACAAGTAGAACCACAACATTTGTGGGTTGGCACACAAGAGACTAGGACGTAGGAAGTAATGGACATGATATTACAGATAGAAATAGGAAGGACGCCCTGAAGGCTAAGGCCCCCCCGGCGGAGACTGGGGCTAGTTAGCTGACAGTAGGCCTGTTTACCATAGACGTGGTCCATGCAGCAAAGACTGGACCATGAGAATTACTCAGGGGATTTAGCCTCAAGTTAGTCTCCCAGGGGCAATGTGGGAAATAACGCCTCTAGTAGCACAGATGGGGTGGCAGATGTCGAGTGAAATACTTGAACCAAGGAGATAGCAGACGGATCCTACGTGGCAAGAGGGAGACTCTGATAGGACCTAGGGAAGGAGGACTGCGCAACAATGTTAGACTGATCAACATTCCCAGCACAAGGGTGAAGGGGGGTGAAGAAGATGAGAGAGCCAGAGTGGAGTGTAGAGAGTTCTAATGAAAGCCCTTCAAAAGGGCACATCACACTAGATTTAAATAAGCAAGTAAAAATTGTGATAGTAAAGGCGTGATACGAGGATATAGGATTGGTGATTAGCCCAGGGCGGAAGAAGAGATATCACTATCGTTTAGCAGAAAATTGGTCTTTTTGACGAGTTGTAATGTTGTGCTGAGAATGGCAAGACTCAGTGACGATGCCGACTAATATGTTGGCGCATCGTCTGGTAATGTACCACGTCCACGGCCCGACTGGAAATTTTGATGCACACAATGGACTACTAGGTGCATTCCTCTAAGTCTTCCTACCAATAAGACCAAGTTGCGAATCTAGGGTCAAACTACTTCTATAAAACGAAAGGAGACTGCGCCACACGGAAGGCCGCACCATCCTGGTCTTCATAACTTCGGTATACTTCTTTTTTTACCGTGATGCTTAATTTGAACTTCAAAAGGCACCGGAAAATGTATAAACTCAAACAGCTTCATCAAATTAAGGCTATTGACAAAAGAAATAATGCAGTTAATTTAATCTGAATTTTTGATTTGCAATAAAAATATAGCCTAACAGGTTAGAATTAAAACTATCCTACAGATGTGCATTATAAAGCTTCCCTTTGCTTAATTTGTTGAGCTCAGTGATGAACCCTTTTTTACTTGATCAGCCTTTTTTTTGAAGAATTTTTTTGGGAATTTATAGTATTCCTTAGGTGATTAAGTTAATTGAGAATCTTTATAATCTTTTATCAAAAATCATTTTACATCTATGGATTTCGAATGAACGACATCGGCTGATTAGCCAAACACGGGTGCAACACTTTTAACCCTAACTGCGAAGCTTTCAAGGAATCCACAGATCTTAGTACATGCCTTTTTTAATTTGACTCTTATTTCAGGCCATTTTTTAATTTTCAAATTTTCAAATTCATCTTTTAATCTCACTTCATTTTTTCATTTACGCATTTTTCGTCCAGCATGCCCGAGCCAACGGCGTTCGATTGATGGTGGATGCTGAACAGACCTACTTTCAGCCTGCTATCCGTCGTCTTAGCCTCGAAATGATGCGTCGTTTCAACCGAGACCGAGCAGTCATCTTTACTACCTACCAATGCTATCTTAAGGTTAAATATAGGTCTTGCTAATTTTATCGTTGCTTGATTTGAATTTATATTAACCTGTGGGCATTCGAAGGCCTAGCATCTCGTTGAAAAAGCGTGTTCATCTTCCACTTCTACAGTTCCCGATTGGCTACACAATGATATAGACAAACCCTTAGTTTAGACTTAGGGGTTTCTGTAGGGCCCCTACAGATTCTTGGGTCTACCTTGTTTTTGCAACTTGGTCGGAGCATCATGGAAACCTTGTGTAACGTACTTAGTCCTCTGCCATAGTATTCATGATTTCCATCATTGGACCATTGGCTGGGTACATTCCAAAACGT